GAATAAAAGCAGTCTAGCCTCATTGGTATGTACGTGTTTAAGCAAAAGGCCAACTGAGCGCCGACACCTGGAGGCAAGTGACTGGGCATATTCCGTAAACGTTAAGTTCCGAGAATACCTAATACCTAAATCACATACTGAGTTGTAAGATTGCAGCATAGAATCGCCAAGGTGTAAACTGACGTTTGGATAAGAGTTATTGAAACAGAGAATTCCGCATTTACTAGTGTTAAGTGGAAGTTGCCATGTTTCACTCCAAGCAAACAAATTCGTCAGGTCTTCCTGGATTCTATTAAAACCCTCACTTAGCGATGAGTGGGGAAAGCTATACACGATTTTTAAGTCGTCAGCAAACAGGTAGGGTTTACCATATTTTATCATGTCAGAAATATCATTTATGTAAAGGAGGAAAAGTAAGGGCCCCAACACACTACCTTGAATGACGCCACTCAGAATAGGCTGTGGGCAGGAATAGGTTTGACTGAACTTTACTATTTGAGTACGCTGCCTAAGGAATGAGCTTATCCACGATAATAGAGGATCACTAATTCCAAATGATTGAAGCTTAAGAATTAACCGATTATGAGGCACTTTATCAAATGCTTTTTTGAAGTCAAAAAATAGAGCAGTTACGAAAAGACCTTCATCTCGTCTGCAGGTGACCTCCTCAAAATAATCCAGTAAGCAAGTACTACATGAACGACCTTTTAAGAAACCATGCTGCATAGGGGAAAGAAGCTGATGCGCAGCCACGTAGTCATTGATTTCTTGTACAACCACCTTCTCCATGATACGAGAGACTACAGATGTAATATTTATGGGACGATAATTCTGAATTTCTGACGTCGGCCCAGATTTATACGTGGGAGATATGTATGACAGCTTCCAGCGGTCAGGGTAGCATGCCTCAGTAAGGGATATTGAGAATAGCTTCATGAGGATCAACGGTATATCTTCACCACCCCTCTTAAGGAGAACAGACGGGATCCCATCGGGTCCGGCAGAATATGAGTCCTTTAGTGAAGCAACTGCATCACCTATCTTTCTCTGTGTAAAGGAAACATTACTTAGCGAGTGGTGTGGTGGAATGGGCATTTGTATGTTTAGTACACTATCTTCGTGCGTGAAGCAGCTTGCATAATGTTTACTAAACAGCTCACAGATCTTTCTTGGGTCATCATAAAGAATGTCCCCATCGATGATCAGACTACTGGGAATAACTCTAGATAAGTTTGCACGGGATTTTAGAATTCTCACTAATGATTGAGCATTGCCAGTTTGTGCGTTGCAGCTGGTTTCTTGCTTGATTGCTTTCAGTAACTTATTTGATTTGAAGTTCTCATGAGCAATTTTTAATGAGACAAGGGATGAAAAGTCATTAGATCGATAGAAATTTCTGGCATGTCTGCGCATGCTGATACGTACTTTTTCAGGGATGAAATTCAGGCGTCTCAACCAAAGCGGGGCAATCTTCAGTTTCTTATGACTTTCTTCATAAGCAAGCCACTCTTGGAGGCCTAGTACACATGAAACAAATTTTTTTGAACATCCTCAATACGTATCCTGTCTGAAACATACATATTGCTGAAGATATTTGTGCCGTACTCAAATACCAGGCGGATCACCACCGTGGATAAAAGTAGCCTTGCCTCAATAGTATGCACGTGTTTAAACAAAAGGCCAACTAGGCGCCTACATTTAGGTACAAGAGACTGAGCATACTCTGCGAATGCTAAGTTCCGAGAATAAATGGTACCTAAATCACACACCGAGTTATATGGTCGCAACACAGAATCACCGATGTGTAAACTGACGTTTTGGTAGGAATTACTGAAACAGCGAATCTCACATTCACTGGAGTTGAGTGGAAGTTTCCAGGTGAGCGAATTCGTCATTTCTTCCTAGACTTCACCAGAACCCTCATACAGTGGTGAGTATGGGGAGGCTTTATACTGTCATTAAGTCATCAGCAAGCCAGCCGGGCTTGCCATATTTTATTACGTTGGGAATATCACTCATGCAAAGCAGGATCAGCAAGGGTCCCAACACGCTTCCCTGAATGACACCACTCAGAATGGGCTTTGATGGAGGAATAGGCGTGATTAAACTTTATTACCTGAGTACACTGTTTAAAGAACGAGCCTATCCAGGATACTGGGGGGTCACTGATTTTACGTGATCCAAGAATTAGAGTTAACCGACTACGGGGCACTTTATGAAATCCGTTTTTGAATTCAAAAAGTAGAGCAGTTACCAGAAGACCTTCGTCACGTCTGCCGGTGATCTCCTCAACGTAATTCGGTAGGCAAGTACTACGTGAATGATTTCTCAAGAAAACATGCTGCATAGGCGAAAGAAACGGATGCGCGACCACATAATCAGCAATTTCTCGCACGACTACCTTGCCAATGATACGAGAGGCGACAGATGTAATATTAGCTGGGCAGCAGTTTTGAATACTTGACGTCGGGGCAGGTTTATACGTGGGACATATGCGTTACAGCTCCCAGCGGTCAGGGTAACATGCCTCAGTAAGGGATATCGCGAAAAGCTTCATAAGGACGTGGTCAGTCTTCGTGACCCCTCTTTAAGAGAACAGATGGGATTCCGCCAGGTTTGGGATGGTATGAGTTCTTTAGTGAGGCAGGTGGACCGGCCATCCTGTGCTGAGTGAAAGAAACATCACTTAAAGAATGGTTTCGGTGAATGGGTATTTGTACTTCTATTGCACCGTGTTCATGTGTGAAGGGGCCCTCAAACTGATTGCTGAACAGTCCACAGACCATACGTGGATCGTTGTAGAGAATGTCAACATCAGTGGTCGGATTACTGAGGATCATTCCGCACAAGTTTTTTGCACGGGGTTTTTGAGCTCCTTCAAAAGGCTGAAAGTTGTGCGTTCGAGTAAGTTTAGGGACATTTCAAGCCGAGGCGTGCTCACACACTTTTTGTTTAGTCTTGCGTAAACCCACTTGATATCTTCCGTCGATAACCAGGCAGGCCAAAAAGCCACTCAGGTGAAGAAAGATTTGAGGCCCCCAGATTACAACACGTTTAGGTGATTTCAGAGGCTCCTATTAAATCCTGGCCAGAAAATAAAGGCAATTATACTGGATGAAGCTCAAGTGGAATTCGCAGCACTTAAAGCTAACTCTCCCGAATTATGGAAACAGAATGCCAAAACGACTGTATCCCAACACTGACGGTGAATGGAGATTTAGCACATGTAGCCAGAGTGCTTCAACAAAACATACTCGCAAGTTTGCATTCAGTTTATGAAGACTGCTTTCACCGATGAAATCTCACGAACGAAACCAACGCTTACTGAAGAAGATGTCTTCTTGTGATCACCCCTAAACCTCGACAGGGACAGGCCATTCGGTCCTGATCAGGTACATCCACGCATACGTTTGGTACTACTTAATTTATCTTCCGAAACGCCATCTTGACTGTATGGGATGTTACTGAACCGGTTCTGATCACCTGCAGATTGGAAGGACGGCATTATCAGTTCGGTCTATCTGACCATCCACAGACAAGTAGAAATTTGTCGCCTGCCTAATCTGATTAGCCTACTTGTTAGCTTTTGAAAAAGACCATCCGTAATGGCATTCTGTCGCATTTTGTATAGAATAGGACTTCTGGGGTGGAGCAGAAAGAATTGGCGGCTGGTCACTCACTCTGAACAAGCCCCACCACAAGAAAGGAATGCACGATTGCCAGCATTATGAATTCCCCAACTTACTTATCATTTATTGACTTTAGCAAGACCTTTGGCAGGGTTCCTCAACTGGACCTGGAGAAAAGTCTGAACATGTTCGGAGTCGCTGATGGATTCAGGAATTATATACAAGATTTTTTCCAGGGAAATTCAGTTATTGAGTTTAGATGGAGTTTTGATCTCATAGTGATAGGTGAAATCTGGAGTACCCGAGGGCGCGATCTTAAGTTAGACCCTTCTCCCATTCTAAGTAAAGGAACTGCCTCGGACGACTAAGTCCTCCACCCTCATATCTGTAGACCAGATCAAACTTTGAAGACTTACTTACAGTGATGAAAACAGGCTGCTGCTAAGGCCCGACCTAAGTGCCAATGTAGATTCGATCATGAGACGGTATTTGGAAATTTGTGCCACTAAGATATTAGTCATGCCAATAGGTCAGGGTGATCCAGATGTCAAATTGATTGGTGACACACCATTAACCAGAAAGCTGAACACAAGGAATTAGGTGTTTTGAACAGTCACGACTTCGTGGATAAAGCTAACTGTTGAGTAGCAGCTACTCCAGACTTTCGAATCTTCTGGCTCTTGTCAAATGTCTTTCAGAGGCTGAATGAAAAAAAGCTCCTTATAGTGAACTGAACATATAGAAGACTCCGAAAGAGGTGTGGATTTTCGGACACAAGGCCAGCATGTTAAAGGTGGTCCGAGGAGTAGGAATGAAGACGGTTAAATAGCTTCTCTGCCCATCCTGTGTAGAAAGACGCGATCGACTAGATCTTTTACTACTGCCTTGCAAAGGGAGTGATCTTTATCCCATTCGATTCCCCATACCTTGGTCTATCACTGATTTACTCCCTCGTTCTTTCCCTCAAAGACTGTTAATCCCAGGGGATGTTATCAGAGTTTACAAATGGATGAACTGTCTGAATCTAGAAACAAATCTCCCTCACAGAATTGTGAATCACTAAAATCCTCAGCGGTATCTGGATTCTCCATTAAAGCTCTCGAAGAAAAACTTGGTCTCTTCACTCCTATCACTAACAGTTATTAGTATAGGTCACTGGGCAAATGTCCTTATTTCTGATACATCTGTCATTCCACCGGTTTCACCAGAGGTTCAGAAAGCGAACAGTTATATCTGTCGCCCTGAAATCGTTCAGCGAGCATAACTGTCTAGCACTGTTAAGAAGTGGGAGTGGAGAAATCTGTTAACTAACGCTCATTGATGAAACACCGACTGCATATTGAATTCGCCGTTACTATGACTACGAACAACGCCGAAAATACAAATCACTGCTTAAGAAATTAATGACTTATACTTAGGTGGTATTACACTATATGATCAGTAAGGTTTTATGATTTGGATCTTTTTCACCCAAGTTTGGAAAAATGCATCATCAGTTCATTGTGTTAGATTCAGATTTGTTGTCTGAGGATAGGAGGCTGGGAGCCTATATTAATCCTTGTCCAGCAGATTTCTGTGCTTGTCCAATCCCTTTTTGAACAAGTCAGTTGACGATGCGGATACCACTTCTTCTGGAGGTCGGTTCCAGGCGTTGATTACTCGACGCGAGAACCAGTACTCTGCGGAGACTATGTTCGTTCTTTGCTTTTGTATCCTTCTTCTATGTCCTCTGAGGTGTGCAGACCTAGTGGGAAGGAAAAGAGAAGATAGATCAGGTCCGAATTCATTTCCTAGAATCCTGAATAGCATGATTAGGTCTTCCCTGTATCTGCGATAGGACAAAGTGAAGAGGTTCAGCTCCTTAAGTTGGTCTTCATAGATGAGGTCAGCCATCGCAGAGATCATACGAATGGCTGCCCTCTGAACTCTTTCTAGAAAATTTGTGTCACCTTTCATACAAGGATTAGCCGACCATGTACAGTTTTCTAATCTGGACCCCACTAAGGATCTGCATAAGATGGTGAACATGTCACCACCTATTTTTGTAAACGTTCTACGCGCTGCCTAGAAAGTCTAAATGCTCCAAGCTGCTACTAATCGACGGTGAGACGTCGTTTTCAAGTCGTAACTCACTGTGACTCCTAGGTCATTGTGCGTCACTAATGACAGTAGAGGAGTCCCATCAATATCGTAGGTGTTGCTGTGTATGTGTACCCCTAATACATGCTCACACATTTGTCTGCATTGATAAGCATTAACCACTTCTCTGACCAGGCAAGCAAGCTGTTTAGGTCTGCCTGAAGTGCATGTACACCCTCATCGTCCTCAATTTCCAGCCTAATTTTTACATCATCAACGTAGAAAGCCATAGGAGATTTCGTGATATTTGACAGCTCATTTACGTATAGGAGAAACAGCAGGAGGGCCAGGACTGTCCGCTGCAGCACTTCACTCTCTACTGACTTCCAAGGGGAGAGTTGGGAACTGATCCTAACTCTTTGTCTCCCACCAATAAGAAAGTCCCTTATCCACGCGAGCAAACTGCCAGTGATTCCAAAACTTTCCAGTTTCCCGTGCAACGTGGAATGAGGTATTCTATCGAACGTCTTACTAAAGTCAATGAATATGAATAAAGGTGTCCTATCATTTTAGACTAAACCCAACTTTTTCTGACTGTAAAGAGTTTCGTTAAGCAAGAGAAATTTCTATGAAAACCGTGCTGTGAACGAGACAATAGAGTGTCGAAATCTAGGTGGACTGTATTAGCTTTCTTGATTATTCTTTCTAGGATTTTCACGATAGTACTAGTCAAACTTATCAGTCTGTAGCTTGATGGGTGCTGCCTAGAACCTAACCTGTTGATAGGTGTTACTGTGGCATCCTTCCAGTCATAGCGGAGTCTGCCTTCACTGTCAGTCTGAATATAGTGGTCAGTGGGCCATCTACATAGAGTGCAAGCTCTCTCAGCAGCCTTTTGTGCAGTTCATCTGGTCCAGTTGATGTTTCCACGTCGATATTACTTAATATCCGAAGTAAATCATTGCAGTCGATATCCACAGAGTTTATTCTGTTGAATGTCAATGCTTTTACTGTTGGATAAATGTCCACAGAAGATTCCTGTATGAAGACCTCAGAAAAATATCCAGCCACGGCTTATGCTTTTTCCATATCGTCCCTAATCACAGTTTATTTTGGTCCCATTGTTTAGAGCGGGTATACCATGACACATCTTATTTCTATATTTTGTATTGAAAAATAACCTCTTCGGATGTTGTATTGCAGCCTGGGCAAGACGCGCTTCAAAGCATATTCGAGACAGACGGACAGCAACGATACATTTATTGCGAGCTTCTTTGTAATGCTTCACCACTTCGGGTGTACTGAAGTGGGTAGCAAGACTCCAACACTTTTTCTTACCTTGTAGCAAGATTCGGATTTCGTGGTTTATCCAAGGAGGACAGTGTTTCCGTCCCCTTACGACAGTCCACGGAATGAACGGTTGGGTCACTTGTGCATATAACTGTTTAAAGGAGTACCACAAACCTTCAACTGAGGCTTCTGGATTGATTGTTCAGTCCTCCGAAGAAGCTGCCAGGTTAATAGCTTCCATATTTTGGGTCTAGCTGGGACATAGGTCTGGTGCACGACGTCTTCTGTGAATCTGGAGATGATCACAGCGTGATTACTTTTACCTAAGAGTGCTAGGCGCTGGACGAAGCATGCATCATCTGTATATGAGAATTCTAAGTCTAAATCCGATGGGCGATGCTGATGGTCATATCTGGTTGGCGTCTTAATGTGCTGTATGAGGGCTAGTGGGATTGATGTTTTCACTAACCTGAGGTCAAACGAATTACGTGGTGCTTTTGTTTTTAGTCTGTCCCCGTCAACTGATGGTGCGTTGAAGTCCTCTACAGCTAGACACTGGTATTTATCTGTCAAAAGGGTTAGCTTATCCAGGAAGAAGTCTGCAGTCTCATATTCAGGCCTTCGATATATTACGATCACGTTAACATCTTATCCCTTGCATTTAGGTCGGCAGCTCAGCGTTTCGCATGTCCCACTTTCATGTGCAACTGTTTCTATGGCTTTTACAGTTGGGGTATTCTTAACGTAAATGATGACACCACCACCTTTTGTGCTCACCTGTCACTTCTAAAAGGGATGAATCCTCGTAAGTATGTTTCACAGTCACTGATCCAAGAAGAGAACCAAGTTTCTGAGATGGCAATGATGTCAAGGCTTTCATTGCTTATCACATTACTAAGCTAAATCCAGTTGTTTAAATGAAACTTTTATAAAGATAAGATTTGTTCCTATTTAAATTCATATGATTATGTTTTTGCACATAGTTGCGTCATAGATATTCTAGAAACATGAATATGATATTAAAATTTGTATTTGTTTTTATTCACCATGGTTATTATCCGTTGATCCTTGATCAATATTCCATTCCTCTTATTCTTCTTTTGTTATCACATTTTACTTTTTGGGGAAGAGGACTTTTGGTTCATAATAGACCTTACCTAATAGACCTTCGTTCTTGAGTAAATTACTTGTCACCATATTGATATGGATACTACATCTTCCGCAAGCCAGTCCATATATATATATATATATATATATATATATATATATATATATATTTACAAATTTTGAAATATAATTCAGGATTCCAGTTCAGATTTTTAGTTTATGGATAGAAGGGTATGATAATTTGATACTTCGTTTTCATTATATCCCTGTGATTTTCTGGTCCTTATCTGAATGAGTCATTTGGTGACTCAGACCACTTCTTCAGGTAGTAGTTCCCACAGTTGTTTACTTGCGGCGAAGACAAGTACTCCACGGATACAACGTTCATCCCTTACGTTCTTATTTTCCCGCTAAATTTTTCGAGGTAGTTCGCCCAAGAAGCAAAAAGGATGTAGATCAGGTCCAAAATAATTTACTGAAATCCTGTATAACATGATTAATCTTCCCTCTATTTGAGATAGTTTGACGAGAAGAGGTCGAGTTCCTGAGGATGTTTTTATCGATAGGGCTAGCCACCACAAAGACCATATGAGTAAACGTCCTCCAGACTCTTTACGGAATCATTTCTAAGACAAAATTTTGTCGTTTGTACACAATTTTATGACATGGATCTAACTAAGGATACGTTTTAGACGATAAAAATATCACCACTTAGTTTAGTGACACTTTGAAGTAATACCCAAAGTGACCTAAAATTATGATCTATGACCAATCAGCAGTGGGCTGTGGTGTTCGAAAAGTGACTTAATGCCACTGTGGTCCAGTACTGTAGATAGAAAAAATCACACCAATATCATAGGTGTTTCTGTCTGCATAACCTAAGTGCATGTTCACACACTTATCTTTGTTCAGGGGCATCAGCTATTTCTGTTACCAGGCTAACAAGCTGTTTAGATTTGTTTGAAGTGCATGCACATACACGTAATCCTTGATTTCTTGCCAGATCTATTCATCACCAGCGCAATGAACCAGAGGGGATTTCATGGTGATCAGCTATTCACCTGCGTACAGGTAAAATATCAAAGAACCCAGCACTGGACCTTACAGGACTTCACTCTCTATCAACCCCCAAGAGGCGAGTTGGCGATTGATCCTTGATGTCTGTCTCCCACCAGCAAGAAAATGTTCGACTGTTCCAAGTAAAACGCCAGTGCCTCTGAAGCTTCGGACAGACAGAATCAACGTAGAACCTCGCATTCAAGTGCATTGGTTCAAGTTGCCATACCATAGTAGTATACAAAGCACAGCTGGAGAGAAGAAGAGTAACAGCAAAGTGGACAACGTTGTGACAGAATCAGCCATTTCAAGATAATGGTTAAAGTAAACATTCAGGCTTTGAAAGATGTTAAAAAGTGAATATGTCTGCGCCACTTTGACAGATTTTCATCCATGTTGCCGAAATTCCTCAACCACTGACTTTTATTGGCCTTACGACCCCATCCACGTAGCCTACAACTCCTTACATGGTCCAGACTAACAGTGAGAGAGTACATCGACTGGTGGTATACCTTTTCTGACCACCATGAACCCTATTTTAAACTAATCCAACTTTTGCTAGCATCGCACATTGAGGTAGGAGGTGGCTGGGTATGCTCAGTACATTTTCACGCCTGCTCAGTCAACGAAAGTCCACAACTTCATCAATCGACTCTCATATTTTACCTAGTGCCCTTTGCCTGACCTTAAAGCCTCTCATACAGTGATTCCACCATACACAAGCAATGCCCAGAAGACATCTACGATCAAAGCTCGGTAACCGCTTCATATATTCTACTTTCAACGGCTATGTCTCATTCTTTCTCCATCCGCCTGTTCTTTGTCCATTGCTGTGAACTGTAGCAACTTGAACCGATGCACTTGTGTACGAGGTTCTATGCTGATTTTATATACCTGTCTGTTTGTCT